AATCACACCTGAGCAATGCATGGTTTCTCCATACAGGAGGCGTCTTGAAGCTGTCACTGACAACAAAGGCTTTTGTACAAAAAATAATTAGATAAATTTCAGTAAGCGTGTTCAATACTTTTTCCCTGTGCCATTCCACATTATTACAAATAACTTCATTTCTGGACATTTATGGTTGGGTTGTTACCAACATCTGGTGAAAATTTCATGTCATTAGCACCTCTAGTAATATATTTACTGAGAAAAATGGTGACGTGTTCAATACTTATTCTACCCGCTGTATATAACACCTTTAGGTTACCACCCAGTAATCAGGCAACCCAAACAATCAAACATGCTTGTATAAATACAACTATATACAGATTCTGGCAGCTGCAGGCATATGACTAAGAAGAGTTTTTGTACGGGCACCGACTTATGTTAGATAAACAACCAAACGATACTTTGTTAGGGTGATAAGATGCTTTATAACGCAGAAAAATAAATGTAAAAAGTACACCTTAAGCATTCTAAAAGTAGTACGTATCACATTTAAAGGAGACATATGTTTTAAAATCCTTTTTCACATTTAAAATCATTCAGTTGGGGTCTATATAATAAAGTGGAACTGCAGGACTTTGGTCTGAATTCTTCCTTATTGTAACTCCACAAGCCCCCGGTTCACCCCTTTGCACATTAGCTGTTTGTTTAAAATGCTACTTATGGTTTAATTTGTATTCTTTGTATCATTGTTATATGTTCACATGTATTAATGTTAAAATACATCTGACTAAGGTTTTAAGTTTGAGGTTCAAATTCATGCGTTTCATGGGTTATTTTAATTTGCTAAAGGAACTTATGTTAAAGGTAGAGAGACTGATAACTGGGTGACATTCACAGGTGAGATGAGATGTGAACAGGAGACGGACATTGTGACGAAAATAATCATTGACAAATCGAAAAAATAATCACAGTTTTCAATTTTTGTGAAGGCTTAATGGATGCTGTAAGAAGAAATGTCATTTAAACAAAAACAAAAAAACAATGGCGATATATCATCTTGCTTATAGTATCGTGATATGTCATACCGTGACCCTTGTGTTATGATATACAGTATATCGTAAGGCTTAATACACAATTTTTAACAGAAAATAGAGAAAACTGAACTGAATATAAACAAGGTTCCTATAGTTTAAGGCAAGTTACATTAAAGTGCCTGTGACATCAAATTTTTGCAAGAAAAGTTAACGCATTTTTGGAAAGACAACATTAACATATTACAAAACAAATTTGACATTGCACAGATGGACAGTTGAGATGTTTGCATGTGAAATAACAGGAAGTGATGTTAAAGGGGAATGTCTGCATGCGAATATTTAAAAATATATATTTTTACCAATTATTTTAATATTCGAAACGAATTACAATCATCCTACGTACAATGTGTTAACATTTTTAAGTCTTCTGAAAGATTGATTTAAGACATTTTAAGGCTAATTAAGGCCTTATTTTTGGATTGATGAACTCAATGCCTTTGAAGACTTTAAGGATCTGCAGGATCCCTGATAAAGATATCTATGCAGCACCAAGAGAGACTAAATTCAAAATTTCTGCACTCCTAGAAACTCCAAGTACACAACAAAATGCATTTAACGGCTAAAAAATTGGATTTTGCACGAAATCTACCCTCTAAATCTGTCTTTTATTAAAGCAAAAGCTTGAAAAACTGTTATTTCCAGGAGTGTTTTAAGAGAAAATAGTATTTTCTCACATTTAAGAGGAAACAATTTGCAAAAAAAAGAGTAAGATGTGTTCCAGCACCGGTTTGTTTGGATGCTGTCTTCACTGCGTGGAAGTCAGATAGGCAGATCGAAACGTAAACAGGCGTGACCTGACCTGTCATAGCAGTTGAAGTCGTCCAGCCAGCAGCCTTTCTTCACCAGCTTGATGGTCCCTGAGGAGTTGAGCCAGGAGGCGTAACAGTGCAAGCGCTTGTCCTTCTCCCCCTCGCAGCGCTCGAAGCCACTCTGGTTGGTCCTCTCCGTACGCCAGTTATCATTGTAGTACACGCACTCCCGGGTCTCCACTTCGCCAAGACTGTACCCTGAAATGGAAAGAAGGCCTCAGTTCAGCTCTCAACACTGTCAAAATGAATTGAAACTCAACAGCGGAAGCACAGACATACGGCACGGGACCCACAGAAACATCTCGGAGCAGGAGACTATCATCTCTCTGGCGTGAAGCCAGTTTTTGGTAGTGAAAAGGGAGTTCCTCTGGGCTAAGAAATTGTTGCTGAATCCTGCCTCAGCTTAATCCCATTGACTAAAAAAAAACTCTTCAGAGAGAAGAATCTAAATGGTTGAAGAAATTAATGGATTTAATTAGCTAGAAAACAATAACGTGCATGCTGAGGTAAAGAAACAGAGCATTAGTTCATTCACGTGCTACTTTTACAGATAAGATTCCTTCTTCAGACATCTGCACACATAGATAAGACTATTTTCTTTAAAAGGGGTATTTTCTACCAGAAACACTTCGTCCTGCTAAGCCGAAACAGAAAAACAGATGTCAAAATCTGCCTTTAAGGTTTTATTGTCATCTTTTTATGCTTTGTTGCTGGACATACACAGGTAAGAAGCAGGTACCGCGTTCTGTTCTAAAAAACATAGCTGGAACATTCAAGCCTCTAATCTTTGTTCCGAGGAAAAAATAGTGCCTGTCTCTTTAAATCCCTGCCTATAGGAGGCTGCCCATCCCCCAGCTTTACCCCCACCAACCCATTACACATCCACTCACAAATTCACACACTTAGCTGTCCAGCAGCACACAATGGGCTTTATTATACCTCACAGGGGTGCACGAAATGACCAAACATCATGCCCATTAACGCAGGACGAACTGAAAGAAGGTAAAACTGTTTTAAAAAGGGAGGCACTCCTACAGCAGTGATGCTCAATGCTCCACTGAGCCGAGATGGCATTTCTGATATCTGTGGTCACGTGACCAGGGAGGACTTTTACTACAAGATCATTTCTCCCCTCAAACCCCCCCCCCCTTGTCACTTACTGGGCTTTTACACAACAACATGAATTCTGGAGAAGCAGCTTTACTGTACTCCCTTCCATCATCATGCCCTAATCTATAAACCATAAAGGCATTAGCTGCAGCTCTGTTTGACTCACAAGAGACAGCAGCTGTGCCTCCATTAAATTAAAAAAAAAAACAATTAAAAAGGGGAAAAGAAAAAAAAATGGACATCGTTGTTTAAGAAAAACACAATAAGTGAAAGTAGAGAATGAGAGTAAAGACGCCCAGGGGAGCAGAAAAAACCCAACAAAAACTCCTCCAAACAATAGAAAGAAGAAAAAAAAACAACACCTCGTGCTCAATTTCACGTGGTTGCAGAAATATTTCTAGTGGGGGGGAATGATTGAATCACTTCACTTGAGCTTGTGGTTCATTCAAAATGAGAAAATAGTTAATCCCTCACAGAGAAAGTGTGTTTTTTCCAGGTTCTTTTTTTTTTTTTTTCCAGGCTTGTGTGACCACAAACAAGAGTGCAGGGCTGAAATGTCGCCTCTAAGGTTTCAGGATGTTGATGCAGCTGCTGCCTTCTATTCCTGCTGCTACTGTTGAAGGAGGGGGGGACGCAACAGTTTTAAATTTGGATATTCTTTCAACTTATTCGCACCGATTTCATCATGAGGCGAGTCACAGTCCAAAGCAGAAACAGCCGCTAAATGTGACGCTAAGCGAGGGGGAAACATAGCGGCTAGAATGGAAGATAATGGTCGAGAGGTTTAAATCCCGGGTGAGTGACAGTAAACTTTAAAACCACTAAAACGAGGTTTTATTTCGAAATTTTAAAACACGGCATTACAGAAAGAAAACTGTTGCCACAAAAAGCAGCTTGCTTACCTGCGCATAAAGTTCCCAGAAGAAGTGAACAAGTCAGCCATGAAAAAGACATGTTCCGCGTCTAAATGCAGGACGGAGACTTCGCTCTCGTGCCGTCGCGAGCATTCAAACTCGGGTTGGTGAAAAACATCAGTCCGGGGTTTTAAAGCGACCACAGGCCTTCCCCGGTGCCTCCGAGCGAGCCTACAGCCGCCGACACCTCCTCCTCCTCCAGCAGCGTGTCGATAGCCGCGGCGCTGCAACAATGTTACGAAGGAAAGAGAGAGAGGGAGAGAGAGAGGGAGGAAAAAAACGGGGAGCGATTAACTGACCAGCCGGTCCGCTAAAAGGTACCGCGTTTCGCCTCGGAAACGGGTTCAGGAACCGAACGCGGGTCCGCCACTACATCCGAATCGGCGTCTCGACGCTGTTTTTTCGCCAGGTTTCTTCGCCGGAGTGGCAGCACCGCAGCGTCGGGGAGGTCGGTCGGGGGTTTACATGCATGTTACTGATCTGTGTCCAAAATGGCTTCTAAATGGGGAACGGGCTGCGAACAGGGAAACCCGGATGTGTAAACACAAAGAGGGGGACTGCGAGCAGCCGGGGGAGAGTGACCTTATCGCCACACCGCACATGAACGAATTCATTTTAATTTCACCGTCCTGACGAGATTATTGCATTTTTTGTTTTGCACACAAGGAGGGGGGATTAGTTACAAGCGCGGACTGGGAATAACTGTTTTTTTTTTTTTTTTTTTTTTTGTCGATCACAGAAAGGGACTCACTTTTTGTGGTCAAGGTTGGGATTTTATTCCATTTTCAGTTTTTATCACTACAGCCAGATTAAAATAATAGTTGTAGAGATTATATTAATGGCATGAATTAAAAGGTTATTCAGGTCGTATAATAAATGGTACAATTTGAAAGAGTTTAATGTTATTAATGATGAAATTCTGACATGCAGGTCTGCAATCAATATAAACAACGCATTCATTTGAAAACATCAAAATCTGAGTATGCTGGCTTAAATATTTGTAGAAAAACAAATGTGTTTAACATTTAAACGCAGGGCCGACCCTAGCCGATATGGCACCCTAGGCAAGTTTTCAGGTGGTGCCCCCTGTGCATTTTTGTTTAAATTTCACTGACAATTTACATACATTCACATACCAAATTAAATAGTTTTCCTTGATATTATTTGTTTACCTTTTGAAACCAAGTTGTCCAATTAAAATAGTTAACAATGTATTTCATTTGACACAGAATACAAAAACTCTACATCATACCTGACAACAGCAGCTGTGGAGTACAGCAGTTCCAGTGGGGTCCAGAGGTATTACACCCCTGGAGTATTTAGTAAAAGATCTACTAAAAACTGCACATTTTCCAGCCATTTGAAAGGCATTCAACTAAATTATTGAAACACCGAAAACCAGACGTTAACCTGAACTTTGTCTGAGATCATAACTAAGTTTTGACCACATCACAGGATGCTTTTATTGTGAAATGTCCTCTGCACCATATACCACCTCATGTTGTAACAAAGCAACTGAGAAACCCACAGAAAAGATTACTTTGATAGACCTGAGTAACCAGACTAAATTTACGGTCTACATCAACTATATTCTGATAAAAAGTAGTTCTTTTATTTTTCACCTCCAGTTTGTGCCCCCCCCCCCCACCCGATGGACAGGGCCCTTAACATGTGCCTATACTGCCTATGCCATGGCCAACACTTACTTCCGTTATTTGGCTTTTTCCATAAGTAAACAAATGATGTTTGTTGGCATCAGCTCAAAAAATTTGCTTACACATTTTATTTAAGGATACATTATCCATCCATATAAAATATGCTGCTAATTGTGCACAATTTGTATTTTACTTTGTGGTCTTTTTTTTAATTCTGGTCTTCATGATTTTGCAGTGAGAACCTAATTTTAGTGTCAAGCAAGTGCAATATTGTGCATTATTTTGCAAATGTCAGAGGTTTTATTCATGTTATTCTAACAGATGTCTTGGATAAGCCCAACAAGTAGTAGAAAATGATGTTTTTCTATCTGAATAATCTTTAATGCATAAGTGGCTTAGCTATAAATAGCTGCCCTAGTTTGGGGAAAACATGATACAATAAATGCTGTTTAAAATGCATTTGTTCCAATTTCTCATTTTACCTCCACATACTGTGAAATACTGACTGTATTACTCAAAAATATAAAATACAAGCACACTCTTAGAGATTTAAACAAAACAGGAAGTCCGTGTCCTTAATTCCACCCAGTTTTAATGTATCAATTGCTTACAGGAAATTATTGTCAATTAATTGATTAGCAAGTTGACTTTTCATGAAGTCTCCCAGCCAACAGACAGACACTTTCAGAGATATTTTTTTCTCAAAAGAATAGTTTAAAGTTCTTTTCCTCTGACTAAATGGCTCTGCTTCTCTTTTTATTGCCTACACGTTTACAAAGAAATGCTCGTCACCTCCATTAGAGCGAGTAATTGAACTGTATTTGTGCCAGAATTGGTTCTTATCCACATAAAGTGTCTCGGTATGTTGTTTTCTTTCTGGCTTTAGTCACACATTCTCAAAACGAAGGGCCCCTTTGTGCAAAAATAATAAGTCCCATCATCACAGAAAATCGAGAATGACATTGTTAAAATGTCATTAAGTCTTGCTCACAAGTCGCAATCGTCGTCTTCTCTTTAACATCCAGACTAATGGCATGACAGTGACACTCAGTCAGTTCATGCAGCAAATGGCCCAGGAATAGGGTTAGCTATAGGTAATCGCCCTTAAACTAGTGCTGTTGAGTGTAACTGAAGACAAAGCATTTCCTCATTAAGCTATCATGTATTGACCCCGTAACTCGATCGAGGCCGTGAGCGAAACCTTGTAAAGATAGATGTTCTGTTGTCATGACAGTCAGAGGAGAAAGCACGAGTGCTCATTAACGATCCAACGGCCGCAACCCGGGTGTGACATTCCTAAGAAAATTCATAAATAAACACGTGGGGAATGAGGCAGGGAGGATCAGCATCTGAAACTCCCAGATTTGCAAAAAAGGTGGCAATCTTTTTTAACTTCTCCACTCCGGTAAGAGAACTTCAATCTATCAAACGAAATCCAAAAACAATGTTTTTAAAGGACTTGAAGAAATCTTTATTTACTTTTATGTGGAAAATTTCTGTAAATAAATTTAAACATGTTCACAAGTATAATGGGTAGAAGCTAAAAAAAAAAGGCTAAATTTTAGCTAATAGCTGAAAGTAGCAAGCTTTTAAATGGGTATTTTTGTAATGTTTACAAGATATTTTTTGTGGGGTTTTGGTACTGTTAGTATGTTTAAATAATCACAGTACCCATGTATTCTTACATTATTGTCCGTAGAAGGGGGGTTTTAAAAATACAATTTTGTTTTCAAGTGGTGGGGGATGGACGTTTACTTTTTACTTGGTTCCATAATTTCTGTTCAAGTTCAGTTTATTTATATAGTGCCAAGTCACAACATACGTTGTCTCAGGGTACATAAAAAAGAACAATCTAAAGAAGAAAGCAGCAGATTGTGTTGAATCACTTCATCACAGTCTCCCATCCTGAGCAAATGGTGGAGAGGAAAAACTCCCTGCTAATCAGGAAGAAACCTCCAGCAGAACAAGGCTCAGGAAAGGCGGCCATCTGCCTCGACTGGCTTCGGGATCCACTTTGAATCAATATTATTGGTCTTCAACACACTTAACAGATTAAATAAAAAAGCCACCTGCTTCGTGGTTTCTCAGCCCTGTGTCCTCTCTCCTCAGCTGACTTCGATTTGTCACTGAGCAAGCTTGAATTCGTTTTAGTCCCTCAGAGTAGAAACCCCTGCTTTCTGTTCACTTTATTGCCAGGTTCTTAGCATTTGTTTGTCCCCATCAGTTCATGCATTATATTATACTGTAGTTCTGCTCCTTTATGTCTCCTGCTGTGGCAGCGCTTTTTCTTTAATTAAGCTTCATATCCTCACGACCTGCCTTCTGCACCTTGCTCGCCCGTTCAGCTGAACTCACCTCGTCCCATGACGGCACAGTGTCACGGGAGGAGGCGGGATCATGGTGCCTTTGTTGCACATAACTACCCAGCTGAAATGGGAGTCAAACGGTTAATCTTTCCCTCAGAGCTGGCAGCAGAAACAGGCATGGTAGTGAAAGGTATGAGTGTAGAAGGAGTTACCACTCGGCTGATTCTGAGATGCCAACTCTTGAGCGTGGCCAACGTGGCACTGAGCCACATCTGTTGGCTGGGTGTGAACGACTAAAGCACTGTAACCTAACAAGATGTTGTTTTTTGTATTAGAGTACAGAATGACAACCTTTGTAAAAAGAACAAATTTAGCAAAAAAAAAAAGTACTCTGCATATTTTTAGGGGTGCACCGATAAATTGGCCCGTTTCCTTAATTTTGGTAGACTGGCGATTGACCGATACACGGGTAATCTATCTTATCCGCTGATTTTGAAAATCAGCCACGGTCCCCTTTCGCTCTGCTGTTGTTCAAGGGTATTGCTCAGTGTTTTTCATTAAAATAAAATTGGAACATTGAACATGTATTGTGACCTGATAATACCTGACAGTGTCAGCTATTTAAAAAAAATCAGTATAGGCCAAAATCAGAATTGGTAGATCAGGCTTTTTAAAGATAGTTGATCGGCCAGAAAAATGCAATTGGTGCACCCCTACTAAATATTCGAGTTTCAACTTTACCCGATTTACAGTAATTAGTGAAACAGATTTGTTTCACGCTTGTGAAGTCAAAACCTCTGGTCTGAACTAATGTATAATTTACAGTTATTTATGGGAGTGTATTCTCTGTAAGACATCTTTCTCATTTCCTCTATTAATTATTACCCTATTTCTTTTAACAGCTCGCTCGTTAAGACCCGTTTTACACAAATGATCGTGTTAAAAATGGTATTGAAGCAAATCACCTCATTACAGTCAAAGATCTAACACTTTAGTTTTTATTTTCACTTAGGATAGTTGCAAACTTCCTGCAGTCCTTTTGAAAGGCCTGAGGTGAGTGACGCAGTAAAATAAATGAATGACACTAGATGGTAGCAGAGTTCCCCCGGGCAGGTGCACGCCGCCGACCTATCTCTCCTTCACTTTAGATTTATATATACACTGCATGTGGGGTTGACACATATGGGTGTCAAAGGGCCGTGTGTTTGAACTGAAACATCTTTTGGTGATTATTGGGTATGTTTGTTTTTTGCCATCTTGAAAACTGAAGTCCACATGTGTCTACTAATCTGTGTTCAGCAGAGTTCAGAATACCTTCTATAACTTTGTAATGGATCCATTAGCATGAGGAGAAGCACAGCACTTAAAAGGTTTTCTACTTATGTTGATAATGGAAAGCAATTACCTGAATCATAGCCCTGTAGCCATTTCCACAATGAAATGTTATGGTTAACTATTCGAGCTGCGCACTGAGTGAGCACGCCAAAAAAAAAACCAAAATTGTATGGAAAAGTGATTGAAAACACGATGGAGTTACTACTTGGTTTCAACCTTTTGAATGATTCAGTTGAAAATAAAGCAACAAGCGGCGTCAAACATTTTCTAAACGTTTTTATTATTGTGCTGCAAAGTCGGCGAGAGATGATGACGTTTATTGTTCCTGGTCCGTGATTTTTGCTTTTTGATGGCGAGGTAGCATTAAAAGTAGTTGGCCACCCTGCGAACAGACTGGATGGTGGGATTCTCGGCCTGCCACTCCTTGTGGGTGCAGTAGTTTCCTCGCTCCACGACGTACATGCGGCCGTGGTAGTTTGGCTCTTCGTACAACACCCAGCTGATTGGAGAGGAAATGCAGATCAAATGTGTGCCTTTAAAAAATGCAAAAGGTACTACAAGTCCAATCACAAAGGATCCAGTTGATGCAATATTTCATTTGTTTTAGATTAACATATACTTAATTCTTATTGGTGTACTTCTAAAATTGCATGCCTGGTAAAGTCAACCCTTTTCAAGATGGCTGCCAGCTGTAGCTTTGAAAGATTATTCTGTTTGTGCCTTTAAGTCTAGAAATCAGTTCAGCAACTTTTTTATTTTCTTTAAGTTTCTTATAGACGTGACATTCAACTTCTTTTTGCACGTTTAATTGCAAAAACCACGACCATCGCTTGTAATATAAAGAACATTTACCTAAAACGACATGTTTAAGCAAAAAGACCATGAAAAATAATCTGTTTTTGTGTGTTCAGTATTTGACACATGTTGGAATGGGTGTGTTCTGCGTTGCGTTGTGCTCCTGGCAGGTTCAGTCAAATGTTCTACGTACGCTCCGTCTCCATAAACCTTGATGGAGTTGACACAGTTCTTGGTCAGGCCTCGTGCTTTCAGAAATGGACAGTCATCACACAGCTCCACACACTGGCTGCTGAAGTTGTCTCCCTCGAACAGCTCCAACCTGTAGTGCTCTCCGTGCTGAGAAAACAAGAAAAAAAGACTCTCTGAGTCATGGAAGGAAGGTTTGCCTTCACCTTTCTGCGAAGGGCTGAGTGTGTTTCCTTGTGACAGAGCCTGTATTGTGTGTGTGTGTGTGTGTGTGGAGAATGGTATGTATGAACTAGAAAATGTTACATTTTTCTGAGAAAATGCAGCATGAATTGAGTATTGAATGACTGTAAAACAAAGAAGACTAGCTGAAAGCTTTAAAGAGCAAAGCACTAATCCAAAGGCACACTGCAAAAATTCAAAACAAATCTTAAAATCTCTTATCTATCTTGAAGATACTGATATACTAAGCAAAGGCAGAATGTTAGATTATTGTGTGAATGCTTCAAAACAGTCACACTATTGAGATAATTTTTTCTTCTGTACGTTTTTCGGCATCTAATTACTTGTTCAACAATTTTTGTGCCATTTCAACAACTCAAATATCAAAAAGTTCAGCTCATTTATGACAATAAGAAAAAAAATTGTATAGGTCTTCTGGACGGGTTCTTCTCTAATGAAACGTTTCGTCTCTCCTCCAAGAGACTTCTTCAGTCTGAGAGTTTCAGGCAAAATTCAGGCTTTTAAGCCCTGCCTCCATGTGACTGATACTCACATCACATGGCTATCGTTGACACCTAATTAACACTTGTTGTTAACAGGGGGTGGAGTGATACTGGCAATAGCCACACTGTAGGAGGGGGACAACTGAAAACGGAGACCTCCACCTCTGTTTAATGATGGACGGTCTTTCTTCACAAAAATGGCTTCTTTTACTCCTCTCTCAAACCAACGTTCCTCTCTATCAAGAATGAGAACATCCTCATCTCTGAAAGAGTGACCGCTGGCCTGTAAATTAGTGAAAACTGCAGAGTTCTGGCCATTAGATGTAGCTCATCTGTGTTGGGACATTCTTTTGAACAGTGGCTGCTTTGTTTCCCCGATGTATAACTGGTCGCAGTCCTCCTGGCACTTAACAGTATATACAACATTGCTCTGTTTGTGCCAGGGCACCGGATCTGATCAACAAAGCAGCCACTGTTCAAAAGAATGTTCCAACACAGACGAGCTACATCTAATGGCCAGAACTCTGCAGTTTTCACTCATTTACAGGCCAGCGGTCACTCTTTCAGAGATGAGGATGTTCTCATTCTTGATAGAGAGGAACGTTGGTTTGAGAGAGGAGTAAAAGAAGCCATTTTTGTGAAGAAAGACCGTCCATCATTAAACAGAGGTGGAGGTCTCCGTTTTCAGTTGTCCCCCTCCTACAGTGCTACTATTGCCAGTATCACTCCACCCCCTGTTAACAATAAGTGTTAATTAGGTGTCAACGATAGCCATGTGATGTGAGTATCAGTCACATGGAGGCAGGGCTTAAAAGCCTGAATTTTGCCTGAAACTCTCAGACTGAAGAAGTCTCTTGGAGGAGAGACGAAACGTTTCATTAGAGAAGAACCCGTCCAGAAGACCTATACAATGTTTTTGTTTTTGATTTTTTTACCTGGATTACTGAGATGCATCAGGACATTTATGACAATCCTGGTATGACTTTTTGTATTTCAGCTATTTTTTACTTTTTCAGCCATTTCACTTTTTTAGCCATTTTTTGCCATTGAAAATGAATGGAGTTGTTTTCAACATCCATCAAATCCTTTAAAATATTTTTGTATATTTACAGAACCTTACACATTTTGTTCTGGTTCTGCTCTTTTTCACTTTCTTGTGCTAATTTTAGCAACTTTCTTGATCATTTTAGCATTTTTCGACAATTTTAACTAAAATTCAGCTTATTTCTGCTATTCTTCTGCGTTTTTCTTCTTGTGTGCTAAATCTCCTTACAGATCATTTCTGCTATTTTCAGCCATTTGCTGCAACGTTAGCTATTTTTCTGCTGTTATTAGCGAAAGTTAGCTTTTTTAAGCTAATTACACAGATTTTGTAGGTGTTATAACTATTATAGCTAATATATTTGGGTGCTAATTCCAACTTGTGGCTGCTACATTTAGCTTATTTTATGCTAATTTAATTTTTTCGTTATTTTAACTATAGATCTGCTTCTTTTTGCTATTCTTTGGCTTTTTTCTGTTTTTTTGCGAATATGTGCTATTTGTGCTTCTTACAGATGTTTTCTGCAATATTCAGCTATTTTAGCTTTTAGCTGTTTTCTGCTTCGTCAACAATATTTTTGCTCCTTTTTACTGTTTTCCTGCAAAGTTAGGCTTTTTTCTTCTTTTAATTATTTAAATTTGAACTTGCATTAACACTTTCGCTATTAAATATTTTCAGCTCAATTTCAGCAAGAAGCATTCACACTGGCATTTTCGCAGGAAATGCAATTTTTCTAGTTAATCTTGTTAACCTAGAAAGTTTCCATATTTCAAGAAGTCTTATAAGAGAAACTGTCCTGCTGCACTGAATGTAAGACAGTTAGATGGACAGTTTTTGCAGCATAGCAAAGCACAAACTAAATGCAGCAAGATTTTAGCTAAAAGCTGAATGTAGCTAAAAGAAGCAAAATGTCTGCTTAAAGTAACAAAAGGCTAACTAAAAGCATCAGTTGTTAGGTTATACTATAGAGTTAAATAACATGTTGCTGTTCATAACTCCATGGGTTATACTAAAAGCATGAAATGATCTATTTTTCAAAGGTCCTGAAGGCAGTTTAAACATCATTGTTTTTGATCTGAGAGAAAACCTAAAAAAAAAACAAAAAAACAACGCAAACATGAGGAGAACGAGTTCACACCCTGAAAGACCCCAGGCTTGAATCCATGACCTTCATGCTGTAAGTGGGATATAGTGTTAGCTGTTGTGCTGCAAAAATAGCAAAGGGGTAGCTACAGTAACACCTAAAATTAGCAACTGGATAACTAAAGCTAAAACTAACAGAAGCTTAAAGCAGCATCAGAAGAAATAAGGAAAGCATGTCGAAGCCGATTTCAAAGAGAAGGAATTGAAGAAATATTCACGTATTTCTATGTTGAAAATGTTTGTAAACAAAAAGTATTTTTGAGAAGAAGCTATAAAGGTTTAAAAATATCAATGTCACTCATCTCCTGAATGAGCTGAATGTTTCAATGTACAATTGGCTATCAAAACACATGCAGAAAAACTGCATAAAATTTAAATCAGGAAAACAATAGCATGAATGCTGAGTCAGCATATAGTCAGTAGTTCATTATTGGATTTCTGCAGTACACTCAGCTTACAGTATTACAACTACACCATGATCTCTGCATTCAAACAACAGAAACACCTGATGCTTTCATTTCTCTTGCAACCAGATCAAATGAGGACACGTTTATGCCAATGTGCCTTTTTTTTAACCAGCCAGATATTTTGTTTGCCCCCAGGGGGTCCTATGCACGCTCACTCTTACCATCCTGATTGGTCTGCAGGAGCCCATGTGATCGTTAAGGGCATTCCAGCGCTGGAATTCAGGGTACTCTCCGTGCTCCAGAATATACTGTTGGCCCTTGAAGTCTGGGTGGTCGAAGCAGACAAAGGCCCCGCTTTCCACACGGACAGAGTTGACCCTGTTCATGAAGCCACGATCCTGGAAATTATCACAGTCGCTCCGGAGCTCCAGCTTTCTCCCAGTGAAACATTTTCCCTCATAGAACACAATCTGTTTACAAACAAACAAGTGAATTCCTGCAAAAAGACACGTTCTTTTGTCTAACAGCCCATTTTACAAAACCAATCATAGTGTGTGATTTCTGCAAAATTCTTCAAACTGTTTGGGATAGATTTACTGTTGTGATACTCACTTTTCCAGAGTATTGAGACATTTTTCCTCTCCTAACTTCTTCAAAACTCCCAAAGTTTAAGAGTGGAAAAATTTAGACTCCCAGATTTATATGGCTGACGCAGAGAGTGGTGGGATCCCGATGCAGAGGCAACAAAAGCCCAACAATGGAGGGGTTTAAACATTTTGCCAAATGGACAAATTCCCTTACACGAGCCAGTGCTGATATTGGAGTTTGCTGCCAAAGGAGGGCAAAAACAACAGAGTGGGGAAGAGTCTGCTTTGATCGGGCTTTGAAACTGATGTCTGGGTTTGCAGAGGAACATTTGGGTCACATCCAGATAACAGAGTATGAGAAAGAAAACAACCAAGAGCAGGAAAAGTGAAAATGGAGGTAAAACAACCGGAAATAGTCCAAATAATGAAGTTCTACCAGAGAAGCAGCTGCTAACTACAGGATTTATTCATCCCTGAAACTTAACTGTGAACCACCTGCTGCTTTTCCAGGATCCATCCATGTTTCTCTTCAGCTGATCCACAAAGGATCACTGGATAAATTTAGACCTTGACCCCTCAGAGCAGGGGTACTCAACCTTTTTGGGTCTGGGGACCCCTTACAAGGATGAAAAAATTCCAGGGAACCCCTCATAAACCCCATGCTGTTTTGAAAGATGATTTATTGCCATTTCAACCCTTAAATAACAGGAGTATATATTTTTATTTAGTAAATTATGTTTGTTTCATTCATTGTTCCCCATGCATTTTTAAAAATAAAAACCAAATTGACAATTTAGTGAAATTATTTTGGGACCCTCAAGAAACCTCTCGCAGACTCCTGGGGGTCCCGTGACCCCAGTTTGAGGACCTCTGCCTTAGAGAGACAAACGGATTCTAAGTCTCAACATTAAACCACTGGCAGACCCGAGAAAGACCAGGGGGATGGGTAGCAGAGAATATACAGGTTAGTTTTCAAACATGTGATCTTCACCACAACTTTTGAAATTGCACACCTGGGTGGGCACATACATTTGCAGTGCTGTAGCAGAGGTGCAGCAAAAGTGAACTTTTTTCAATCGACAGTAGCTGGGAGTCATTTGCCATACATTCTCCAAGTGCTAACTCTGTCAGTTTTACAGCTGTTAAGGTAAAATACTGGTGCTTACTGAGATAAGGAGTCCAGTCCAAACACCTGAAGGTGTGGCCAAATAACTGTCCAAGTTCTACTTTCTGTTTAGAATTCAGTCAACATGTCTGAAAGAACTAATGCTATCTCATTTTGGTCCTAATCTTCTTAAAACAAATACACTGCACCTTTGACTATCAGATCCGGCTAATGAAATATTTATTTGAGTTTGGAATAGGGCTGCACAATGAACATTTATCATCATTGGAAAACAGACCATGCCATAGGCATATCTTGTTAAAAAAAACTGCGTAAACTGTAATAAATGATTGGTTTAAATATTAGCATCAAGACTGGAGACGCCACATCAAAGGCAAGGGCAATCCTGGTCCTGGAGGATCCGCAGCCCCGATTGTTTTACTTGTTTCTCTGCTCCAACACACCTGATATGAATGAATAGATGATTATCAGGCTTCTGCTGTACGGAGGACCAAAACTGACACAAATAGAAATCTCCTGTTTTATATTTTAATTGACTTTCATATTTATTTTTCCAGCTTAGTTCCAAGAAATTAGTCCATATATTTGAACATAATTTAAGTTTTTTTTAAATATATATTAATTGTTTTTTCCTTTAACTTGTATATGCATTTGTGTGTCTTAAATGTTTATACTTAATCATTTTTATATATTTTTTACAACAAGTCTTTTTATTTCTATGTGTTGCATGCTTGTGCTGCCTCAGTTTAGCTAAAAGTTTAAAGTTTAGTTTAAAACAAAGGCAAGGAGGAAAACATTACCTGTGCGTTTATTTTTAACTAACCTTTAAGCTAAACTGCGGCAGCACAAGCATGCAACACAGAAATAAAAAGACTTGTGGACAAAATTATAAAAAAAAATTAATTTAAGCATTTCTGAGACACAAATGCATGTAGAAGTAAAAGGAAAAACTATGTGAAATATGTATTTAAAAAAACATTAACATTTAAATTATGTGTTAACATTATTTATTTATATTAATTTATTGGAACCAAGCTGGAAAAAATAAATATGAAAGCCAATTAAATTATAAAACATGAGGTAAAGTTCTCCTTTTTAATTTATTTGGTGCGTTTTAAATGTATTTATTTATTTAAAGGTTCACTTGTCTATTTCTGCTTTTATTTCTAATCATGTCAGTTTCGGTCCTCCATACTGCAGAACTTGGAAGAGGTAGCAGTGACTGAATCAGGTGTGTTGGAGCAGGGAAACACGTAAAACATGAAGGGCTGTGGCCCTCGAGGACTATGATTGCCCACCGCTGAGTTGGGCAACCGTAATAAGAGAAGTTGCAGTTAGATTTCGGTGTTTAAACTTTTATTCAAAATTCTTATTTTCAGATGTTTTTATTATTTGTTTAAAAAACTGGCAGTAAAGGGCATTTTTCAGTATTTGGAGCATCTGTAGCATTGCATGCAGTTTGTTGTTTCACTGCTACTACTGCAGCTGTGTCGAGTTGCACTTTTATTAATAAAACTGTTATGTTGGAATGGAAATGATGTCTTAGTTGTTTTCTACTCCAAACCAATGCTGCACAGTATTTTTTTCATTTATAGCAAGTCATATCATAATTGCAATATAAAGCACAGTTATTGCACATTGCAGGTTTTCCTAATATATAATAATAATAAATGCAGCCCTAGTCTGAAATGGGTGCACACAATAAAGCCTCGGAACAAAGGCTGGACTGTTATTGCATAATGCATTGGGACACCCTGAACACAGTGTACCCAAGGCAAGTAAGGTGCTGAGTATATAGACAAACCCAGATATAACACTTAATGGGGCGTTACCATGGCAGGACTAAGCACGGAGAAGTATAAAAAGAGGAAAGGTCATTAAACGCACCTCACTCTTTGGCAGACACAGTGAAGCAGACAGGTATGTGGACCACTTTTGGACAAATATGGTTATCTTCATTGTGTATTTAACCCTGTCAGCTTCTTTTTGGAAACTGGTCTGAAAACAGACTGATATTTTAAATCGTTTTAAGGATTTTTAGCTACGATTTCGGGAAATTTGTGTGGGAGTTATCAAATATGTGCTTTATCTGCAACAGGCTGCAGTTTGGAGCAGAACAATGAAGCTGTTGATCTTGGCTTTAACCGTCGCCTTGCTGTTTACAGCCGGTGAGTCTGTCACTTATTCTCCACCAGACAAACACGACCTCCTGGTGCTGTGGGGCAAACAGATCTGCTTCGGTCCACCTAACAACGTCAGCAGATCTGTTCCAAATATTTCTTTTTAATAGACACCGGTCAAATATTTGAGACGCGAAACGTTACAAAGAAATTAACTTGTTTGTTCATACTTTGAAAAAACAAACAAAAAGCACCACAACAATGACTAAAGTGTGTTATTTTGTGTTTCTGTTTTTTAGGCGAGGCCTTGACTTGTCATCGCTGTGTGCCCAGAAGGGCTGGAGAAAACTGTGAGCTCAGCGTGGAGACGTGTAAACCCGGGAAGGATGCATGCGGTGCAGCCAGTTTCCTCAGGGAACCATGTGAGTTTCCTTAGATCAGACTAAACAAACTTATCCTTTATGTTTTCAGCAATAATAGCACACACACAAAGAATATTTGTAAGTAGTTTCCAAGTGAAGATAACTTAAAGGACAGGCTTTCTGAAGTAGTTTACGTTTTAGTTGGGTATTAAGAACAACAGACTGGTAAGTACTGATTACTTATCTGGTATGTACTGGGAACTTATATGGTATTTAACAGGTACTTTTCCAAAACACACTAGGTATATAACTGATACAAGTACTAGGTATATACCTGGTACTTGACCTTATACTTACCTAGTTTGCTTTTACATGGTATGTACTGAATAATTGCCTGGTATGTATTGGGTAATTTACCTTTTACATACCTGCTACTCATATATTCCAGGTACTTACACAATACTTATGTACATTTGATACCTGCTACTGGCCTGCTGCATACATGGTACATGTTTGGTATGTTCTTGTAGTGACCAGGTATTTTCCTAGTACTTACTGAGTACTTATTTGCTACTAACCGGCTATGTACAGTTAGTACTATGTACTTACAGGGACCGTCCCTAGTAGGACTTAGGTACACACTTAGTACATACGATACAGAACACTTAACTGGTGCAGAACATTATACTTACAGAGTACTTAGCTTTTACAAACAGATATTTTTGTATATATGCATGCATGTTGTATACATGTATTTTCTTCATGCATAAAAAAATCAAAGCCTTTCTTCATCTGACTTCTTTAGATGGACACTACCAGAAGTGCATGGCTCTGTCTGACTGCAAACTGCTGAAGATGAATGCTTACATCAACATGAAGTGCTGTGTGGAAGACATGTGCAACACCTTAGAAAACTGATCAACGTACAGAAAAAAAAAAAAAAGCCTGACCCTCAAAAGTCCCACTGGTCCCAGGCCTCAACATAAAAACTATTTTAGACAAAAAAAACCTCAATGAGCACTTTTTCCATATGAATAAAAGTTTTGAAAAAAATAAAAGATGACTCCTGTGTATTAAAATTTGAGTTATTGCATGTTTCCCTTTTCAGCATCTTTCATATTTTATGAATAAAAACAATACTTCTGCTGATTTTCTTACTGTATGATTTGTGGTCAAACTGTGAAGGAAATTGTGATTTAATGGTACCAATTAAGATCATTTGGTAAACAAATAACCTCATACACAATAATCCACAAGTCAGCGTGCTTACATAACCACTTTTTGCTTTAATGATTACAATCAAAAACATTTGTACAACATTTGTAACATTAGAAAATGGATGCAGGTTTTTGTTTGACTGACAGTAACCAATAAGAAACAAACTGAAGGACAGAGAAGTTGGAACTGTGAGGTGATGAAGTAGAAAAGAGGCCCAAATAGCTGTGGATGTATCAGAAAAAAACAAACATCCGTGTTCACTTCGTTTTCAAATGCATGGCACACAACAAATCTCTCATCTTGTATTCTTCAGACAGAGGAGGAAATGTAACCAACACGGAAACTGCACCAAAAAGCAAAGATGCATCGAACCACTAATATCTCTGTGACAGGCATCCATTTTTTTCCTGATCCATCCATGAGGGCTGTTTAATGTTTTGCATCAGTGCTGAGCACAGAGATGGAGACATGGGCTGAGGGAGATATAAGACAACGGAATCACCACGCATCCATTTTTTATTTTTTCAAATCAAACGTACAAAGAAAAACGAGAATGGGAGAAGGGAATGGGAAATACTGATAAATAAGAGTGGAATCAGAGCCATAAATAGACAGTGTTGGATATTTAGGACCCTGGAGGGGAGGGAAGGGGGAGGGTGGGTGGAGTCGGCTGAGGTGGAGAAGAACTGGCGGCTAGCCTTCAAGTAACGGGATTTCCCAGTGCAGTGTCCTGTGTGTTGATTGGGCGGCTCTACATCACGGAGCAGGAGGTTTTTCCCGGCTGCACGCCGCCATCCATCTTCTCTGCCTCCAGGATCATCCTTCGGAAAACCTCCACTGCCGTCTGAGAGGAACAAAGAACACGTGTCTCGTGTTAAGTTCTGTACTTGGGCTGTTTTTTGTTTTTTCAGGGTTTCTTGAAGTGGTTTGTGTTTGAATGTCTGTGGAAGGTATTTGCTACATTATGGGGACGATTTTTCAGCCACACAGTCCTGTAGGGACCCAATGATCCTTATGGGGACCAAAGCCCAGTCCCTGCAGGTACGACAGGGATGATGTTTTTGGGTTGAGGTTTACTGTAGGTTTAAGTTTAAGGTGTGAATTGAGTTTGGGTTAGGTGGTGAGATTAGGTTTAGGATAAGGTATGCACCAGGGTGGTTAGGTTTAGTATTAGCTATGTACTGTGGTGGTTACATTTAGGGTCAGGTATGTACTAGGGTGGTTATGTTTAGAGTTATGTATGTATTGAAGTATGTCGGTTTAGGGTTATGTATGTACTGGGGTGGTTAGGTTTAGGGTCAGGTGTGTACTGGGGTGGTTAGGTTTAGGGTCAGGTGTGTACTGGGGTGGTTATGTTTAGGGTCAGGTATGTACTGGGGTGGTTAGGTTTAGGGTCAGGTGTGTACTGAGGTGGTTATTGTTATGATTATGTATGTATGTACTGAGTTATATCGGTTTAGGGTTATGTGTGTACTGGGGTGGTTAGGTTTAGGGTCAGGTGTGTACTGGGGTGGTTATGTTTAGGGTCAGGTGTGTACTGAAGTGGTTAGTGTTATGATTATGTATGTATGTACTGAGTTATATCGGTTTAGGGTTATGTGTGTACTGGGGTGATTAGGTTTAGGGTTATGTATATACTAAGGTATGTTGGTTTAGGGTTATGTGTGTACTGGGGTGATTAGGTTTAGGGTTACGTATGTACTGGGGTGGTTAGGTTTAGGGTTAGATATGTACTGGGGTGGTTAGGTTTAGGGTTAGATATGTACTGGGGTGGTTAGGTTTAGGGTTAGATATGTACTGGGGTGGTTAGGTTTAGAATAAGGAGCCAGGGTTAGGGTCTAAAAATTACCAGAAAATGAATGGAACTCAATGCAAAGTATCCATGAGAATAATACTTGTGTAGGTGTACTTAAGTGCTCCCTTTTCTGAAAACTGTAAACCCTAACCCTTTTTTGTTGTTGTTGCATTTTTTTTCTAATTTACGTTACATAGTAATTACACTTTCAAGTTATAAAAAAATAATATAAATAAAGACTAGCTCACTGTCTGTGCAGCGTTGTAGGAGATAAACTTTTAAGTTGTTGCTGACTTTTTTATCCACTTAAAGGCAAGAAACCTCAGCTCAGACACAAAAAGTGCAAAGCAGAGGGTCTCCAGAACACAGACTGTGTAGGCGTCTTCGAGCACACCTGCTGTTTTAGATCACGTAGGCGCAGCAGCGTAAAGTGCCTCAGGGCTGGCTGAAGTGAAATATCAGAGAGTGGTGACCACTAAATTCGCTGTGAGCCAATTGCTCTATAGCAGCTGATGCATCACAACAACAAATGGAAACGGCCGTCTCATCAAGAAATCTGGTGCAGAGCTTGAATGTTACACAACAGCATCTGCAGCGCTAGAGTGAACACAAAATGTAGCTCCAAACAGCTGGAAAGGAGTCGGTGACACACAGGACTGATCATCCTTAGAGGCAGGACGCAGCACTGAATGATCGTAATGTTATTTGGATGTGATAAACGTAAGCATGGTGGATGGCTGTATGTAATGTAACGCTCTGTTGCAGCAGGAGATTTATCAAGACGTGTGTTCTGAAGTGTTCAGGTGGCTGCGGGGGTTTAATGAAGCTCCTCGTGCAGCTCAGAGCAGCCGTGGACAACAGGCCGAGTTCTGATATTCACTGACACTGATTGTTATATATCAATGCAGGCAGCTCTATCTGCACAAACAGTGTAATATTGTTTATTCCAATCCATCCGCTGGCAACTTGTGTGATCGCTGAGTCCACATTCAAACTGTTTTTCATACTAATTCTACATATTTGGTACTATAAATTTATATATCTAAATGTTCAACTTGACAGGGAGTATGAGTTTAGTTTTACTTATTTTCAGTTTTTGAATTAGCTTTATTTACACCCCCCCCCCCGAAAAAATTCACAAATCTCTAAATTTACTTTAAAATTATTCTCTGAAATCTACATCAGCATGCTTGTTCTACTGTTGTCTTCTTGACCTTTTAGCCACAAGCTACGCTTCTAAGCTATCTTACGTCCAATTTTAGCGAGAATTTTGCTATGTTTGGCTTTTAGCTAGTATTTTGCTAACTGTAACTTTTAGCTATGGTTTTGATTATTTTAGTTTGCAGCTACGAGTTTGCTAATTTCAGCTTTAATAAGTGTTTTAATAATTTTAACATATTAACTACTGTTTTGCTAATGTTAGATTTTATACGGTTTTGCTAAATTCAGCGGTTAGCCATGGTTTTGCTAAATTTCGCTTCTGCATTGCTTGTTTTAGTTTTATTAAAGTTCTGTAATGTAATGGAAATATTCCACTAAGGTAGAAACATGTGAATAAACAGAACGAACTGTGTGGTTTGGTCGTCAAATGATTTATTATGGTTGCATATGCGAGAGAGGTTTGAGCAGCGACGCAGAGGTCCGAATCAAAGGTACCACCACGGAGCTACTGGATAGCAACAGACAGGAAATGCAATATATACTTCCGGCGTGGTCCGTACGAACAAATAAGAGCGTGCCAAATACCAAAGAGGTATTGAATAACCAATGACAGTAATACAAGTTACAAATGTAATTTTAATTGGGAACAAGGTTGCAGGCATCAGATTGCATCTTTAAGAATCATGAGAACCGATTATACAAATGTGGCAGTAATCAAAGAGATACAGAACAAGACATGTCAAGGTGATGTGAACTCAGTAGTTATGCAGGATTATATAATATATTTCCACGACAAGTAAGATCAGTAAAAAATGCCTTTTCTTTTGTTATCCGTTTACATTAGGAGCATTTATGATGCCGGTAGTTTGCTCAGGGTGGTCAAATCATCAAGTCTGACACCACAGTTTTAAAATGTGTGCTCAAAGTCTAGAACAAATGCCAACAGCTTCAAACTTTGCTCTGTTTTCTGCGAACCAACTGTTCACCCATTAATATATTGTTTAAAAAGTGGTGATAAATCAAGCTTTTGACAACCAGTGGTAGTTAATTAACAGCTTATCAAGAGCCGAGCCCCACTGGCGCTCCCTGTGTAATCTTATCATATCAAATGCTCCACATATTAGATAAACTCTTATTATTGGGTGACTTGGGTGAAGCTGTTTGGAAAGCCGTCGTTCGCAGCTCTCCAGAATTGCTTTGGATGGTCTCCCTGCGCCTGCGTGGGTTTTATCCAGAGATATGTTTGTTGAAACGATGAACTGAGCTCAGGTGTGTGTGTTTTCGAGTTAGCCCAGTGATGGAGTGCCGATAAGAACACGGTGTACCCTGCTGCAGCTGGAGGAAGCAGAAAGCATTTCAAAGCTGCTGCTGTAAACGCAGACTGGACCAACACAGGACACAATTCTTAACACCTTCAGTTATCAACTTCCCTGCGTGTGTATCAAACGTAAATGCAATCGGTGCATTTTTGAACAGATTGATAAGATATTTCTTTACCTGGTTCTCTTTAGCTGAGGACTCCATGAAGGCTGCGTTCCAGGATTCAGCTAATGCTTTTCCTTCTTCACAGCTGATTACTCTGAAACAAACAACAAAAAAGCAGTCAATGAGAAGCTGCAGATGTGAATAAACTCAATGAATAAACTCGTTGAACATTCGCCAAACAAACTCGTAGCCTGGTCCAAATATGTCCTGTCAAGGCTAAACTAATAAGAGCTTTGTAGCCTATTTGACTTTGCAATAGAAAAAAAATCAATTATTACTGAGACTCTACAGTGTTCTGAACTATATGTGCAGCTCCAGTCTAAAGAAAACCTAATGAAATCCAATTTCAAAGTGCAATAGGACATACCGCTCCATATGTAGGTCATTCTTGTTTCCGACGAGCATAATTGGAACTCTGCATTAAGGGGGAAAGAAAGGGACATGTGATGTATTCAAAAAGTCTTGGGAAGCAGAGAAAACAAAGAAAGGTACTTACTGGACCTTTCCAACCATGTCCAGCAGTTTTTCATGGATAACTTGAACAACTTCAAAGCTGGAAGAAAAGACAAAGAAGAAGAAAAGTTTATTTTTCAGGACGGACAAAGCGATCCGAGACCTGACGCAGATCTTAATGAACATGTACCTTTTATTAGACGTAACAGAATAGACCAGGATGTAACCATTGATATCTATGGAGTAAGTCTGTGGGAAGATGGAGTACTCGTCCTGGAAAAAAGATTTATACTCTCAGTCAGTGCCACTACAACAAATATTTACATGAAAATCAATAAAGCTGGGATAGGCTAATGGAGCGTAACGGAGCCATACCTGGCCTGCTGTGTCTACAAGCTGAAGGTGGTACTCTTGTCCGTTTATTGTGATCATTTTAGTAAATGCTGCAGTTGAACAAAAAACAGATTGAAATAACTAAGAGAAACAGGAAACTACAGACTTTATTGCAATAAAAGCATCACCGTTCAATATAAATTAAACACCTAAATTAAAAACGTACACCTGACCTCCCTTGAAATCATTCTTGCCAGTTTTAAACTTCTTTTATCTCATGATGAGAAATGTCAAACCTTGAATATAACGTAGATTTTCATGTGATGTCATGGTTTGTAACTCTGAGTATGTTTTTTGAATCTTAAATCAGATTAACTCTAACGTTAACATGTTGCAGACACACATTGAGTTATTACTTTCTGCTAATTTCATTAAACCTCATGCAGTAGTTCAGGAGATCCTTTGGTAGAGAGAGAAGACACACTCGTGCAAAAACATAAACACAATCGGACCCAATATTATCCAACTGAATATATTTTTATTATTCTACATTCCCGTTCTACAAACTGTAGGACGGCTAAACCCAGTTCGGAATGCAGTCTGGTGCCACTGAGGTCACTCGGTGCAGGATCGTCAATATCTGCCTGGAGATAAGTTTGGTTAGAGAGAGCGCACATCCTGCAGCAACAACGCTGACACTACTTCACGTTAAGCATCCAGGGAATATTTATAGATACCGACTGCACAGCCAACGCAGGCTGGAATATGTGAGCAAACATGTCAGGGAGGAAAAGAAACAGCCCGCGGTGAAAATTTAGACCCGGACCTTTGGAGCGTCTGGGATTTTGTGCACCAAGAGTGTTGAAGAATTACTGTATGTTCTCCTGCAAGAGCCACAAATAATAATAATAATAATAATGATATATATATATATAAAGTTTCCATCGTGCCTTTGAGCGAGCTTCCATTTTCTAAGTGTGAGATGTCAAAGCAAAAAAAAAAAAGTTTTCTCTCTCTCTTTGTTAGAAAGTGTGGAAATCAGCTGGCGTGGTGTTTGTGGTGTTTCAACACATTATTAAGGAGAGAACATTGCACCCTGGTGGGTGAATCTTGTCTTCCACTCAAAACAAAAACCACACAGTTGCCAGGAATGATCTGAGAGTTGATATTAAACCTGAACACATTTAAACTTTTTGTTTATTGCTTTCAAATGACAATAAATCTTCTTAATTTCTCTATTAACACAATTTAAATGTATGTTGTTTGTAGTCGTTCAGAATTTATTCCTTTTTGTTGCCTTTCTGAATTATTTAGATTCATCTTTTGTTGTTTTGACGACCATTTCTTCTTTTTTTGTAATTTTTGCAGGTCATTTAAGTAATTTTATCTATTTATGTAATTATTTTGTTTATCTTTGTGATAGCTTGATAGTATCGAGCAACATCTGTAAATGTTTACTGTTAGCTAATATAGCGTTCTTTCACATGGATGTGTCATTTTAAAAAACAACTGTTGTTTTTGACGACTGTTGTCAAACAAGGCCTCATTTGGTTAGCCATTAGCCTAGCTTGGATGAGTTCTTTTTGTCGTAGCTGATAAGGTACTAAATAAAAATTATTTATTAAAATGTCATTTTAAAGTTAACAGGCTATCTGTATTTTAATATTAGTTTATATTTGCCCCAAAATATTGGTAGGCATCATCTTTTTTTATGGTTTTCATCAAGTTTTGGTTTT